CCTCTATTTCAGTGGCCATTTCCGTTGTTTTCTTTTTTTCGAGTTTATTAAATTAAGTTCTGAATTTAAATGTCAATTGATCGGTTAATACTTTAGCTTGTCGCGTTGAGCGCAGCGTTGACACGTCTGCACACCTTAGTGATCAAACGCTGATTATAAAATGTAAATAACGCAAAATTTTGTTATATCTATTACGACTCATTAGCTGCCTAAATATTGAAGTACATAATGGTGGATCCTTATTCCAATAGTTTTGTAAATTACCTTTGATCACATGACCCATATTGATCGATATACTAAGAAATACGAGGTGTGTTCAAAAAGTAAGGTGACTTTTCAAATTTCACGGGCAACGTACTTTCGATTATCGATTTTTTTGTTTTGTTATGTTAGTACACTCTTCCCGAACTTCTGTACCAAGTTTCAAGTGTATAGCATTTTTTGTTTGGTTGTGAGAGGCGTAAAGGTTATAAGAAAGAAAACGCCCAGAATTGTGGAAAAACAATTCATGGCTTTTGCATCACGATAATGCCCCTGCTCACTCATCTTTGCATGCCTCAGCCACCATATTCACCGGATTTTGCCCCATGTGACTTTTTCTTGTTCCCAAAACTAAAGAGACCTATGAAAGGACGGAGATTTGTAACGATTGAAGAGATAAAGACTGCATCGTTGGAAGAGCTCAAGGCTATACCGAAAAGTGCTTATGAGAAGTGCTTTGAGGATTGGAAAAACCGTTGGCATAAGTGTATTGTATCTGAGAGGGATTACTTTGAAGGGGACAACATAAATATTGATAAATAAATAAATATTTTTTCTTAATAATACAAAGTCACCTTACTTTATGAACACACCTCGTATGTGTAATACTTCAATGTTTATATTTGTTAATGGTGCCATTTTACTATGCAGTAGTTCAGGATTTTGCGTATGATAAATATTAGTTTGTTCAACAATCATTTTCAAGATAATCGAATTGAATATATAAGTAAAATAATATAAAGGATTGTTTCCTAATGAAGAAATATTGGCACAGATACAAAAATGTTCGATAAAATCTTTGCGAGAGGGTCAGCCACCGTCCGCCTTGGGCTGAGCTCTGCTAATTTTTATTGGGTTCTATCACGGTAAAGAAAACCGGCGCTGACTTTCACGGGCCGACGTTCGCTCCGGTTGGGAAGGATGATTCATATAATCGGACACTTTAATTAATATATATTACATATGGCGATCTCATTTATTGACGCCCTTTCACAAATAAACGCTACAAGATTCGATTCGCCGTGGCGAGCGCGCTCGCTCAGCCTTCCGCGACCAGAGTTAACGGAATCACGCGAGCGAGATCACTCAGCGTGCGCGATAAAGTACGCTTAATACGCTGGAATCCGTAATCGAGCGAGAGCTGGCGCAAGAGAGATTAAATTGGCTTTGGACCCACCGGGTACCGACGGTCCGCCGGTAGAGAGGCAACGCCGGCGAAAGCGTAGACCCGCAGAAAACGGTGCCGCGGCGATGATTGAGGTTGCTGCAGGAAGGACCGCAGCACGGCCTTTGCTTCGTGGTCGGCGAATGGTCGCTGCGTAAACTGGCTCAGCTTCAAATAACTTCCACTTCCTTCCTGGCAAACTAGGCTGTCGCACTGATGGCAATAGTTCCCCTTCTGCCGGAATCTTGTCCAGAACAGTTCCTCTCTAGGCGGCCCTAATTACTTAAGAGCTCGCGCCTAACTGCTCTAGTTCTCACTTAATTTTCTAAGTCTCGCGCAGCCGCGCTCCAACTTCTCTCGCCGTCAAAAATTAGCTGAAATCGCGCTGTCTCTCTTTCTCTCTCTCTCTCGCTCTTCTCGCTCTCCCTCGCACTCACGGCGACACTTCGCCGATCGTCGCGCTCCTCTCTTCAGATCCTGCAATGACACAAGAATGTAGTCGCTATATAGCGTACATTTGGTTGCTACGTTCATGCGAGGAAAGTGCCGCACACAGGGATAGCGAGCATCACTATAACCCTGTCACATCTTTTATAAATGGATAGAAAATGGAATCAAATGATAGTTTGAGATTGTTTTCATCCTTTGATTCTAACGAACCAGCAGGTTCAGAAGTATCAGTTCTATCTTTGACTGATGACATATCTGGCTGATTCAACACTACTCTAATCTATTATTTCCTGTCTTACAAGGAAACGTACTCAACCCGAACTCATCGATTTTGATGATTTTGATACATATTGTAAAACATAAAAAATAAGAGACACTTTTTTGTTTATCGGCTAATTTTCATTTTTAAGGGGTAAAAACCTCCCCAAAAGTTAACCCCCAAAAAGCTTTTTTTTAATATCTCGGCTTAAAATTAATATTTTTCAGTGAAACAATTTGCAAGTTATTTCTTACAAAAGGAGCAAGTATTTCATGGTGATTTGAAGAGTAAGGGTAGCATCCCCTATTTTTTAGGGGTTGAAAACATATATTTTTTGGCATAATTTTATAATGAAAAAGTTTAAACCGTTAATTTTAAATAAAGTAAAAGACTAAAAAAAATGGAAATAAGTTTAAACATCCAGAATAACAAAATTTAGTTGACGTCTTTCGGTGTTTTAATAAATATTACCCCTAAGGGGGGTAAACCACCTCTAACACAAAATAACTGTAAATATGTAATTCAACACATAATATTTCATAGAAAGTTTGTATATAGAGGTTTTCGAGGTCGCTGATTACAAATCTGTTATAAGATTTTTAAAATTCTAAAAGGCGGAACTAATATGGCGGACAGAAATATAGAAAAAAAATTTTATATAATAAAAAAGTTTTAAACGACTAAAAAAATTTTTAAAAATTTGTAAACATCTATAATAAACAAATTAAGTTTTTTGCTTTTTTCATATATACTACCTAAAAGGGGGGGGGTAAACCACCCCTAACACAAAATAACTATAAGTATACTTCAGTCCATAATATTTTGAAGAACGTTTGTATATAGGGGTTTTCGAGATCGCTCTTTACAAATCTGATATCAGATTTTGAAAATTTAAAATGGCGGAACCAATGCGGTGGACGAAAATGTCGAAAAAAAATTTTAACTTTCATAAAACTTTGTTTACAAATATGTGATCTTTGTAGCCTGTACATGTGAACTAAAGAGCCTTAAACCCTAAACCACTAAACAAAATGCACTCGTTTTATTCTGGTAGAAATGTAGCAGTCGTGCTTTACATGCAAAAACACAGCTTGTATAAATTTTACCGTTTGTTTTTATTTCAGATTGAAAAATGAAAATTACTCCGTTAAACGTTCTAAACTTATTATTAGCATAATTTCAAGCGTTAAACATACCAGATAGTATCAGGAATTATCAGAAAACAGAGTTAGCCGAAAAAATAAAAGAAATTTTAATAGATGCAACACATGATTTCAACGATGTAGGAATGATTACTGATGACTCATTAGATTTTCAAGAATAGTATAAAGACCATACTTTATACTCATGACTCATTAGATTTTCAAGAATAGTATAAAGACCATACTTTATACTATTCTTGAAAATCTAATGAGTCATCAGTAATCATTCCTACATCGTTGAAATCATGTGTTGCATCTATTAAAATTTCTTTTATTTTTTATTATTTTTATTCTAATTATACGGAAATAATTGAAGATGAAATGCAACATCATTTTTCTGATCCGGATATAGCACCAACAAATCAATGTACAGCAGATAATGAAGAACTAGATTTTGAATACAAAAAAAGAGCTGTATATTTTTGGAGAAGTAGCAAAACAAAACAAAAGTCTCAAAACAGTGCAAAACAGATTCAAAAAAGTATCGTCTATTAATCAGCTACGTCGTTGGGCTCATTGAATTAATAAAGGTGGCACGTATAGAGAAAAAGTAGGACAAATTTGTTAGTATACCCTAGATAATTTTAAAGCAGCTCTCGACAGTGGTTCAATTATCCATGATGAAAATATAATTCGATGGGCCTTACAAGCTAAAAAAAAAATTGGTTTTGATGATATTAGATTCAAAGTTTCTAAATATTGGTTACTCAAATTTAAGCAAGCACACTGTATAGTTTCTAGGAAAATCAATAAGTTTATAACAAGAAAAACGTCAGAAAGTAGTGCAGAACTTACGGCTAAAACTGAAGCATTTATCGATGACGTTAAATCGTGTATACCAAGGATTGGACTCGAAAATTTGTATAATTCAGATCAGAGCGGACTTCAGCTAGAAATGCATTCTGGAAGAACATTAGCAGTAGAAGGAGAAAAGCAAGTGCATGTCTGGTACAGTCAATTTCAGCAACAACGCTTATTCGCGTTTTTGAAACACACCTTTAATTTTTTGTGCGATAATTTGATTCTAAATTATCGATGATCATAATCAAAATAATCCTTTTTTTTGGAACTTTGATATATCTGAGGCACATTGTTTTATTGAGGTCTACAACCTCCCAAATTAAATCTTAATAAAGAAGCTATCGAATTCATATCATCGTTTAAATAAAAAAATATTTCAATACCCGTGAACCAAAAAAGAGAACTAAATAAAATTAAAGAAAAATTTTTCCTGGCGATATTCGTTAGGATATAGGGCATAGGCAAAGGACACAGAGTACAACATTTTTTGACTCTGAGATTTGAAAACTAGAGATTTCAAGCTTCAATTTCCTTTTTTTTAATTTTTCATAGGATCACTTTTAACAAATGATAACTTTTAATAAATAATAACAAATAATCACTTTTAACGTTTAAAAAATTATTAAAAATTTAGATTTTTTGTTGATCTCTTATTTTTTTACGTAAGTGTATTTAGTTACAAAAAGCTATAATTCAATCAATATAATAATTTTGGTCGAATAAAATAAAACAAACAAGTTTGATTTGGAGAAAACAAACTGTTGTAAGTTGAAAGTATCGGAAATGATTTAAAATGTTACAAGATTACACATTCAATAATTCTATTCTTCGAAGATAAATTATTGTTATAATAATAACATACCTCATTTTTTGATGATTTACTAGTAGTATGATCATTTTCATTTTTGTGATCTGATTTGAATCTTTGCAGCGATTTCTCATACGTATGTATTTTCATCTGATAAGAAAAACTTTTATCCATTGGTCTTGAACATTTACTTTGATTCCCTAACAAAAAACATTCACTTTGAGATTTATTTCGGAGTATGGAGCTGTTTAAATGCTGAAATTCTCTCATTTCTCTCATAGATGATTTGAATATTTCTTTCACATTATTAGCTGTGATGCTGGAATTTATTCCTTTTTTTTTTAAATCAATCTTAGGAACACGATTTCCATCAACCAAGTCTATCGAAATATCTTCTTGGCCATCACTATTGTCTCTGAAAGAATTCTGTAAGTTCAGTTTTTGGTTATAAATTTCTTCGGCGGTATCATGCCCTACTACTATTTCTCTACAATGTTGTGCTTCCTCATCTAAGTATGTTAGAGTCACGCGATTTTCAAACGTATTATTATCTTCCACATCATCTTCTTCGTCATAAAATTCATCATCTTCATCTTCTTCGTAATTATCATCACTGTCGTCATCATCAACGTCGTCGTCTTCTTCCTCATCATCTTCATCGTCGCCTTCGTCATCTCCTATTTCGTCTTCATCTCCATCTCTATCGTCATCGTCGTCATCTTCTAAAATATCGATTGTAACATTAAATTCCGATAAATCCCTTTCATCCTCCAGTGAAACAGCTGATGTTTTACACGAAACATCATCCAGTACGGATAAAAGATTTTGTTCTATTTTATTATTTAATGACACAGAAAATGCGTCGTGTTCGTCTCCTATCATATTTTCATCAGATTTGACTGAAAAATGCATTCCTGATTGAAATAAATTCTTCTGAAATCTTTGATCTCTAGCAAAACAATTATAAGCGGATTTTATTTTTTGTGCATCTCGTTTTTCTCCCCAAATTGGTTCAAAATGTTTCAATTTCCAAGGGTCTAGCTTATTTTTATCCTTTTCTGCTTCTAATTTTAATTTTTGTTGATTTTCTGGCGTGAATTCACCTTCAGCCAAACGCTTCCGCCATTCTTGACAAGCTCTTGCGAAAAATTCATTATTTAAACCTACATTGGCAGCTTCCTGTAAAATATATTTATATATATACATGTATATTATGTGTGTATGTAGAAATGAAATTCATATATTATGAAACGATGAATCAGGGAAATATTTAATTTATATAAAATCCAGTTGACCAAAAAAGCTCACATAAATTGTAAAATAGAAAAGTTAAAATTTTAATAATTTATCTGTAACTTATGATACATTTATTTTTTATATAACCTATTAACGCCTAGCTAGACACGTTTCGTACACCTGTCTTTTAGCGCTCACAGCTATTGCACTTCGTGGCAAAAAAAGTTGGAATACATGCATTCCTATAGCTTAAAGTATAATTTTTTCGGTGATACTATTTAAATTAGTAAAAAACTTCACTTTTTATAGTAAAAAGTTGTTTAAAACAAAAATTCATAATTTTCAAAGATAACTTGTTATATAAAATCAAAAACCGGTTTGGAATCGACTTGGAATTGCTCTACTATCGGTTAAAAAATGATTGACCTCTTACATTTCAAACATGTAGCTCAGCGGAGAAAAATCACACAATGATATAGAAAAAATAGCGTTAAAACTTTTGTTTTGTACATCATTTGGTTTGTTAGTGGTCCATTTAGCTTAATTAGCAAAGTTATAACAGCGATTAGAAGGAAACAACCACGGAATCTTGAACTATTTTTTACGAGGACAATTTCACATTTACCGTTTTATAAAAAATGAATAGAACATCGTGAAAAAAATCAGTGTGTTGTTTGAAGCTCCCTTAATACAATTACTAATAATTTAGGAAAAGAATAAATTAGTTTATTTATAAAGTACAATCATCAAAAAAGAATTATCTTTTCCGTGGCTTATTCGATTGATGTCGGAAAGCGCATTGAGCAGTTGTAGTCATTGAGCAGATCTCTTTTGGGCTCCATGACGTAAGAAGGTAGAGAAAGTAGCAGTATTCAGTGGTTCAACGCAATATAGTCCACCAGCCTATGGAGAGAGACTCTTCGTTGGGAGGAACACCACGAAGAAGACGCGAACGGCACCTCCCGCAGAGACGCCTAGTCATCATAATTACGACGGCATCCTGTTGTGACGCGGCAACATTGTTACAACTTAATCGTGACCCTAAAAATCCTCTACTAAATATTTTCATCAATATTTTCATAAAATAACGTTTTGGCTTACGCCATCATGGATCAACTATCTTAAAGTTTAAAAATCTGACGTCATATTCGTAATTAGCGACCCCGAAAACCCGCTGGTTCAATTTTTCATGCTCATAGAATCACTCAAAAAATTTATGTTTCAAAGGGTTAAAACACAATGAGGAGTCTATCCAGTGAGTTAAGGCAAGGTTATGTATTTTCCCGGCCAGCTAAGGGAAGGTTAAGTTTCCACCCAGCCAATTAAGGCAAGATGGAAGGTCTACCCAGCCAGTTATGCACAGTTACATATTTACATAGTTAATTAAGGCAAGTTTGAAACCATCACTATAAAGCATTTGTTCAAAATATTTATCGCCAGCTTATCGGCAATATCGTATTGTGTACAGTTCAATAGTACCTGTTTAAGAACATCAATATTCAATGGTTTTGTTTGATATACTCGATCATTCAGATACCCCCATAAAAAAAAGTCAAGTGATGGGAGGTCAAGTATCCTCGCTGACCATTCAATCGCTCCACATCAGCCTATACTCCTTGCATTGAATATTTTATTTAAGTAATTGCGAACTCGTAACGTATAATGACCGGTTGCTGCGTCTTGTTGAAACTAAGGTATTATTAACATTGTTAATAATATCTGACCAAACGTTAACCTTTCGGGGATCTTGAGTGCTTCGGGTGTTCATCATCCAGTGATGGTTAGTTTCGCTCCAATAAGATATGTTATGCCTATTAACGCTATCATTAAAACAGAATGCAGTTTCATCCTAAAATACGATACGAAAATTTCATATTAGCATCCATTCGGTTCATCATCAAATAACCTAGGTGCCTATCAGGATCATCTTCATCCAATTCTTGTACCAATTTAACTTTATAGGGATGAAACTTTAGTTTTTTTGTTAAAATTCGTTATGTCGAACCACAAGACAAATCGTGTTGCTGTTGTAATTTTTTAATGCATATTTGAGAATCTTAGGTAATGGATAGTGCAACATTCAATTGGTTTTCTTCAGTGACCCGATCTAGGAACATCTCTTACTTTTCCAGTTTCATAAGTCGTTGTATCGTTCTACAAACAGTTGATTTCGATATGGAACTTGCCCTACTCTAAATAATTGTTTAAATAAATTTACATTTTCATAGCGAGTTCACATTGATAAACTGACGAAAATGTTTCCTAAATACAATAAAAAACTGTGTATGCATAAAGATAATCGGTATAACATATGTTTATTATGTTTGAAGAAAATTAAAAGTAATGTATGAAATAAAAAGTGCTATCTTAGAAAGAACAAATAAGTTTTGTTCTGACTACAAATCGAATGATGAGAGATTACCAACAGTTATTTGTACAAATTATGAATTAACGTTGCATTGTTTACTTTATTATACATGACATTTTCTACTTTTATTTATTTTTTTTTTCTTTTTGATGTTGTTCAAAATTTCGTTTCCACTAAATTGACTTACATTTGGGGTTCTCACTAGTTAACATAATTTAAAATCACATTTAAGATTTGTTCACCATTTTCGCGATGTTCTTGTAGTATAATGAATTTCATAATAATCTGAAAGCGTCATTTTATTAGATTCCTCAGCATACAAACGATGCAATGATAATTTATGTAATGTACAAATAACTGCTGGTAACCTCTCATCACTTGAATTGTAGTCAGAACAAAACATACGACGTGTGTTCAAAAAGTAAGGTGACTTTTCAAATTTCACGGGCAACGTACTTTCGGTTATCGATTTTTTTGTTTTTTTATGTTGGTACACTCTTCCCGAACATCTGTACCAAGTTTCAAGTGTATAGCATTTTTTGTTTGGTTGTGAGAGGCGTAAAGGTTATAAGTGTTTTGCGTGCTCGGCGATTTCTTGCTATCGAAAAATGTGGATCAAAGGATTTGCATCAAATTTTGTGTAAAAAATAAAATAAAGTGCTCCGAAACACTTGAAATGTTGTCGGTGGCATACGGTGAAACTGTTCTGAGTAAAAAAAATGTTTACAAGTGGTACAAACTCTTCCAAGATGGCCGGGAAGATGCCAATGACGAGCCTCGCTCTGGACGCCCAAGCACGTCAACAACTGATGAAAACGTTCAAGCAGTGAAGAAAATTGTTCTAGAAAATCGTCGAATCACTATCAGAGAAATTGCTGAGGATATTGGTATATCACTTGGCTCGTGCCATGAAATTTTTTCTAATATTTTGGGCATGAGACGTGTGTCAGCGAAGTTTGTTCCGAAATTGCTAAATTTTGACCAAAAGAACCGTCGCATGAGCATCCCTCAAGAACTGTTGAATGACGTCAATGACGACCCAGATTTACTCAAAAGGGTCATAACTGATGACGAATCATGGGTATATGGTTATGATATCGAAACCAAAGTCCAATCGTCCCAATGGACGAGCCCAGATGAGCCAAGTCCGAAAAAAGCACGCCAAGTTCGATCAAATGTCAAAGTTTTGCTCATTGTTTTCTTCGATTACCATGGCGTGGTGCATCAGGAGTTCTTACCATATGGACGTACGGTCAATAAACAGTATTATCTTGAAGTTATGCGCCGTTTGTGAGAAGCAATACGAAGAAAACGCCCAGAATTGTGGAAAAATAATTCATGGCTTTTGCATCGCGATAATGCCCCTGCTCACTTATCTTTGCTTGTGAGAGATTTTTTGGCCAAAAACAACACCACAGTCATGCCTCGGCCACCATATTCGCCGGATTTGGCCCCATGTGGCTTTTTCTTGTTCCCAAAACTAAAGAGACCTATGAAAGGACGGAGATTAGCAACGATTGAAGAGATAAAGACTGCATCGCTGGAAGAGCTCAAGGCTATACCGAAAAGTGCTTATGAGAAGTGCTTTGAGAATTGAAAAAACCGTTGGCATAAGTGTATTGTATCTGAGGGGGATTACTTTGAAGGGGACAACATAAAGATTGATAAATAAATAAATATTTTTTCTTAAAAATACAAAGTCACCTTACTTTTTGAACACACCTCGTATATAGATTAAGTTTTTATACATTATGTTTATAGATTAAGTCTTTAGTTTATAGATTAAGTCCAGAAGATCATGTACTCTGAGTACCATTTAGTAGGTGGGATATAAACATGTTGGACGGAAATCCTGATTTTCCTTTGGAATGTGATTATGTGATGAAGCTGCATTCAATATTAACGAAAATCTGAATAGGCACAACAGTAATTATTGAACACCAGAAAAATCCACAATGGTATCGTGAAGAGCCAAATCAACATTTATGGGGCTTATATGTATGGGTTGGCATGTGCAGTGGTCAAACGATTAGGCTACAATATTTTGAACGGACTATTAATAGTTCAATGTATTTAGTATTACTTCAGAATGATTTGCCTTGACAGGATACCTTGACAATTCAATACTTGAATTACAGTTAAAGAGAGTTGATGGCTTCAAAAAGATGGTGCTTTTATTCATTACGCTCGTATCGTACGAACAATTTTAAATCAGTAATTTCTAGATCGACCAACCAATCAAGGACCAGATAGACCAATCGCGTGGCCTTCTACATCAGCGTATTTAACTCTAGATGATTTCTTTTTGTACGAATATGTTTCAAGTTGTACATGGAAAATGTTGCTTTTTATGAATCTCCAACAACACCATTGAATATGATGAATAGAAATACGAATTAATTTTTTTTATGTTCGCACATGGTACAAATTAAGAGGAAGACATTCATACACTTTTACAATAAAATTCTACGATTTTTTTGTCCGGACGAGAGAATTTCCGCGGCGCGGACGACTCGTAATTGGAATTATCAAGCTAGACTACGAAAGTCATTTTTTTCTTAACCCTTATGTGAGC